TCGTCTGCTCCTGCCCCTACCGGGCACCGGAAATCGCTGGTTGTCTGTCCAAGCGTGTGCACGTGTGACTGTGCTTGCCTCAGTACACGCATGTGTGGGTGTGGTTGAGCTGGGTCTTTCCGCCCCTCTTGGCCACCTAGGAGCTCACTCTGTCAGTGATGTGCGTGGAGGCAGCCGGCCAGCAAGTTACATGCGGCCCCTGTCGCAGAGAGAGTTTGTTTCGGGTGGGAGCTGAGGCCGAGTGTTCCCTGCAGCGAAGCAGGAATTCCTCCTTCACCTAGTGGGAGCCATAAATACCTCCCCGTCTGTGGCTGGAAATATACATACACACATACAACGTGCTGTCACTTGGGGTTCGCATGCCACACTGGGCTCTTCCTGCTGCTAAAGCTTCCCCTCCAGAGCTCCAGTGAGGTGTCCCTCTTGGATACACACACGCACACGCACACAGAAGCAGGCAAGGTCAGGAGAGGAAAGAGAGCTGGAGAGAGGGAAGGTGAAGGAGAAGGAAGGACAGAGAGGAGCGCTGAGCCAAGATGGAGAAAAACGAGACCAGAAATGGGATTCCAAGAGCTCAGTCAAGGAAGTAGTGGGGCGTCAAGGGCTGAGAAGGTAGAGCTGGTGCAGGGTTGAGAGAGGCAGAGCTGGAGGGGGAGCTTTGTGGCTCTTCCGGGGAATATGAAAGGACCTAAGGAAGAGAGGGGTCCACGCTGCCTGCCGACTGCTGGCCGAGCTTGGCCCGGGTCTGGGCATTGCAGAGGCCACAAGCCATTGGTACAGGGGGGTGACCGATGACCTGTGTGCAGATGCATGGGGAGTAGCCCCAGACCCAGGAGCCATGCTGAGACAGAGTCCACATCTGTCACCTGCCTCTCATAATCCTCCCTTCCGGAAGCCTCCACACTGGCTCTCGCTCCTGGAGGTGGCCTCTGCCTCAAAGGTGTGGGTCACACGAGTAGCCCAGGTCCCAAGCAGAGGGCAATCAGCAGAGCATGTCCCTGTGGGTGACCTGAGCTGGCGTAACCCTCGCCAGCAGGAAGAATAAGCCGTGAGCTCCGAGATTCTCTCCATCCCCAAACCTGGCCCCGGCTCAGGGGCCCTGCTGCCTGCCTGCCCAGGGCATCCATCCCAGGGCATCCATCCCAGGGCATCAGACACCGTGGCTGGACCGTTCTTAGGGGACTGTGTCTGATAGGCCTCATGTAAAAAAGCCTAAAACCAGAGACATTGCTTTCTGGTCCTCAGCGCCAGGATAGAGGGAAAGGTTGAGCTGTGTCACAGCCAAGAGCGGGTAGTGCTGCCCCTGGCGGCTCTGTCGCATCTCCAGTCTCTAGGGTGTGGAGGCAGCAGTAGTCTTTGCAGAGAGGTGTAGGCAGAGGGGTTAGGGCTGCTCTGCCGACCTTGGTCAGGGTGGCCCTGAATTGGGGGTGTGCCTTAGGGTCCCCACTGCACTGGCAACCAGGCTGAGGAGAGGTGAGGCCAGAAAGGCTTCTGGGGGATGTGGCCCTGGAGCCTGGGGAATCAGAGTGATGGCCTTGGGGGTGGGGGGGCTGGCTGGTTGGGGGAAGAAGGGTAAAAGATGGAGCTGGGCACCTGTCTGCCTTGTGCTAGCCATCCCTGTCCCTGCCCCTCCACTGGCCCACAGGCCACCAGCTGGCCCATTATCCCTGGCGAGGAAGAACACACTGGAGGGGGCTCCTGTGCGGCAGCAACTCACTCATGCAGACCGGCCCGGCAGGGACTGCCAGGGGAGAGCCACCCTGATCTGGGTCGGGGGCGAGGGGAGAAGGGGGGCCGTGGAGAGAGGAGCCCCCGCGGCACAGCAGTCAGGTCTCCTCCTGTGCTGTTGGCAGGGGGCAGCGCGTGGGGCCTGTGAACAGGAGATAAAGAGTTCAGGCAGAGGGTTTTTTCTCACTAACCGTGGATTTGTATGTTTGTTCAGCTGGTGGCTCTGATAAGCCCCATTCTGCCAGATAAAAGCTGAGCAGCCATGAGGCGGGGTGTGGGGAGGGGTGTCATAAAGGGACCTTCCTCCTGTCTGTCCTGAGGCCTGGGGTTATCCCCTCCCCCAGGGAGCCCAACAGGGAAGGGAGTCAAGATGCTGGGGTGCTGTGCTCCCTTGGTGTGCTAGCCTGATCCCAGAGGGCTTCTGATCCCAGAAGGTGGCCTGGGGCAGGCCCCGACCTCCAGGCACGGCTCCCCAAAGGGCCCACGAAGGCTGGCCCAGCTGGCTCCCGTCCCTGGGGTGGAAGCCTGTCCACCAGGGCCCGGTGGCCTGTTTGGGCCCCGCATCTGCCATATGGGTTCCTGCCAGCCCCCTGCCCCTGTCCGTCCAAGGCGCATGCACCCCTAAGCCCACTGGGTGCAGGGGGCCTGCCCCCATCATGTCCCTTACTGTCCTGTCAGGGCAGGGCTCCTCGTTGAGCCCCTGGGCCTGGGGATGGCTTTGGCTGCCATGGTGTCCCTAGGGCCCCTGCCTTAACCCTCTCTTCCCCTTCTGCTGGGTGCTGGCCTGGAGGACGAAGGGGGCGCTGCTAGAGCAGGATAGTGGGGCCCTCGCCAGAGCTGCCCCTGCTGCAGGGCTGCCTCCTGAGCCTCCGAGCCTGGGTCCAGATTTCCAGTGTTTCTGCCTTTTGTCCTGGAGCTGAGCTGAGCATGCCGGGGGCCGGCGGGGGTGGCATTGTGGGGACGCTGGCTGGGCCGCCAGCCGTAAGATGGCTGCCAAGGGCTAAAATGGCTGCCAGCAGCGCCTGGAGGCGCGTGGCAGCGGGCCTCGCCCGCGCTGGGTCCTCGCTCCCACTCGCTCCTTTGCATCAGGCTAATAGTAATAACAGCAGTAACGGTTCGGGGCAGTGTCCTGGTTTAGAAGGATTTCCTGTCTATCGCGCTCTCCTGGAGCCCCATTTGTCTCTGCCTTCGTCGCTGGCCCATCTCCATCTCTTTGTCGGGTTCCCTCTAGCCTTTCTGTCCTTGGGCTGGATGTGCGCATGCGCGCGGCTTTCTGCCTCCACGTGGCCATTTTCAGGGGCCCTGGGACCACACCCGTGGGGGGACTCCTCTGTCTCCTCCAACTCCACCGGCCCAGGCCCGGAAGGCTGGCGGGGAATGAGTTGGTCCCAGGATGGGTGGGGTCAGTAGCAGGGGCTCCTGGGCGGCAGAGCCCGGAGTCTGTGCCCCTCTGCAGGCTCCGTGTGCTGGTCCTAGGCTGCGCCCTTCCTAAGTTTTGAACGGAGGAGAGGGCAGGCCTGGGAGAGGGAGCAGCCTCGGGGTGCCAGTCCGGGAAGGTTCTCCAGTGGGCCGTCCACCCACCCCCTCAGCCCCTCACCTGCTCCTTCCTGGACAAGCTGGGGGTTGAATCAGGCCCAGATAGCCGGGCATAGGCCAAGGTGAGAGAATGACAAAATTCATACCCACAAGGCACCGTGGCACAGGAAGGTTGCCCTCCTGGGGGTGGGGGGGGAGACCCGCCAGGGCAGAGAGTGCCACTAGCGAAGAGATGGCCTGGGATAGGAATCGCCATCCCTGAACACACCGCAGGGGTGAGCACGAGGGGAGGTGTGGAAGGCTGAGCCCTGATCTGGAGGGGGCGAGGGAACGGCCTTAGCACTTTCCTTGTAAACCTCTCTGGTTTTTTGATTTGTGACAAGATTTATTATTATTTTTTGGAATTAAAAAAAATAAACTGAACAGGTAAAGAATGGGGGAAGTGGGGCCTAAAACTGTCCTGTAGGCAGCCTGTCCTTGCCCATTGGTCACATTGAGGCAGGTGACCAAGAACTTGGCCTGAGCCAAGGCTGGGCCTTCACTCCCATAGGGATGCTGTTCTCACCAGCCCCTGTGACCATCACTCTTCCGTCCCTCCTGAGTGGCCCAGGACACCCTGCTGCAATCTCTTGGGCCCACGTCGTCTTCTTTAGGACCTTCCTTGCCGGTCACTACCCAGTGTGAGCCGCCTGGCTGTGAGGCCAGTGAAGGGTGGACTCTCTGGCCGGTAGGCTGACCTTGGGGTGGTGGGAGAGACCCAGGGGGCAGGGCCAAAGAGTTGGGCAAAGCCCTGGCTGATACCAGGGCACGGTTTCCTGATGCCACCCCCACGTCGTCCTCTTGTGAGCAGCCCTTTCTTTACCAAATGCCTGTCTCCCTCCTGCCCCTCAACCTGCCCTGGCCCCCCTCTGCCACCCTCTCGCCAGCTGTCGTGCCTGGGCAGGCACTTTGGAGGTCCCCATTGTGCCCCCGGCACACAAAGCTTTGAGGACCTGGGGGGCGGGGGCGGGGGGGGGGGCTTTCCCAAGCTCAGCAAAATATTCACACACACGCTCCACCCTGCCCCGGCCCTCTGTGAGCTCCCACCGCACAATGGGCCCTTGTCTCGGGGCTCCCTCTGAGCAGCTGTGGCACTGGGGCATGAGACAGCCCAGACAGGCTGGCACAGAGCGGGCGACAGCGTTAGGGCAAACCTCCCCCCTCTGTGTTGCCAGGCACTGCCTGTAAGCATAAAGGTGAGGGGGGGGGTCAGGCTGACAGGAATGGCTGTAATTAATGAAGTGAGAGAAGGACGGGGCTGCTCCTCTGGGAGCTTGAGCTGAGGGGAGGATGGGGGACCCTTGGGTTCATCCCAGCTGTGCGGGGAGGTGGTCACTGGCTTCCTTCACAGGCACCCTCTTTGCCCTGACTCTTAGCCATTGCCTCCCACTTGAGGGCGACTTTGCCCCCGGGGTGCATGGGGCAGTGTCTGGCGACAGCTTTGGTCATCACCCGGGGTGCTACTGGAATCTGGTTTGTGGAGGCCAGGGCCGTGCCCAGGACGCCCCGCTGTGGAGAGTGATCTGGTTCCTGTGTCAGTAGTACTTCCGTCCTCCTCTCTTCAGGTCTCCCCAGGCCGCGCCCCTCCGACGAGAGGGGGCCATGAAGGTGTTCACGGGGCCGAAGGGGCAGCTTCTCGGCTGTCGTTTGTGGGGCCCTCTGATCTTGACCTAGTCTCCCCTTTGTGTCTCCCGCAGAATCCGGACAATCAGATAGTTCAAACCAGCAAGGAGATGCGGACATCAAACCACTGCCCAACGGTCAGTGCCCCTCCACACCTCCTCCCCCCGGGGTCTGTGCCCCTCCACAACACCCGGGGGCCCGTGCCCCTCCACACACCCCCTGGGGGCCCGTGCCCCTCCACACCCCCTCCCCCCGGGGTCTGTGCCCCTCCACAACACCCAGGGGCCCATGCCCCTCCACACCCCTCCCCCCGGGGGCCCGTACCCCTCCACACACCCCCTGGGGGCCCGTGCCTAGCTTCTTTGGCCTGCCCTCCCCCATTGCTCCCCTCTGCCCTCCCACACCCTGGCTGACCTGGCCTCCCCTCTGCCCCCGTTTCTCCCCCTTTACTCAGCTGCTCCTCAGCCGGACCTCAGCTGATGTCCAAGGGGTGGGGGCTCCCCTGAAGCGTGCTCAGCCCCTGTGGAGACCTGAGGGCCCCGAGGGCCAGCCTGTGTCTGGAACATGAGGCTTGGGAGGAAGCGAGTCAAAGCAAGAGTGAGGAGAGCTTTAGGGAAGCAGGCAGGCAGCCCCTCCGAGCCTTGCCTGACTCACTCCCTTGTCCTTTCCACCCTCCAGGGCACTTAAGTTTCCAGGACTGTTTTGTGACTTCCGGGGTCTGGAATGTGACGGAGCTGGTGAGAGTATCACAGAGTAAGTGAGTTCTTTCTTCCAGCTGGGGCTGAGCAAAACAGATTGGGAGTGTAAGGAGGTGGGACTTGGACCCTATGTGCACCCCCTCCCCGCTGGTGGGGTCTAAGTAGGGGCAGACAGGACTTCCTGGGACACTGTGCCCATTGACACTGGGCTGGGTGGGGCTGAGGTGCCCAGAGAGCCCTGTCTCTCATCTCCACTATTTTGGAGGAAAGAGATCACAACCAAGGGCTCCTCCCCTTAGACCCCCTTCCAGGAGGAAGCTTCTGGGGAGCTGCGCATGACAACAAAACAGGCCCGGTAGGGCCTTCCACACCTTCCAAACCTTCTCGCCTTCTCGCCCTCTCCCAGCTCCTGTTGCAACAGCATCAGGGCCCAACTTCTCACTGGCGGACCTGGAGAGTCCCAGCTACTACAACATAAACCAGGTGACCCTGGGGCGGCGGTCCATCACCTCCCCTCCTTCCACCAGGTGAGCCCAGGGCTCCGGCCCTCCCCTCCCCTCCCCTCCCCCGGGCTGGCTCGGGTGCTGCAGGCAGCTGTACCTCCAAGGCCTGGGTGCTTTAGAAGGTCACCCCCTGTTGAGGGTGTTGACTCCAGAGCAGGCCGGGCCCAGCATGCTCCCAAGCCCCTGAGCTTCCTGCTTTGTGCTGGCGCTGGGCATTTGGCTCTGGGGACACAAGCCCAAACAGGGCGCAGCTCTGCCTGGAAGGCCCTCCCAGTGGTGAGCTAAGAAGGCCTCTCTCTTGGGCAAGTGACATTTGAACCCAGAGGAGCCTCCATCCCAGCCAAGGATGGACATCCGGGTGGGACCCCTAAAGAGGGCTTTGGAGGCCAGAAGAAGGTGTTTCGACCTAAAACCCATGGAAGGGTTTTAGGTTTTAAGCAGCAGGTGCTGGGATGTGTGTTCTAGAAAGTCCCCCTAGCAGCAGCACGTATGCGTGGGGCTGACAGCCAAGTGGAGGCCCTCCCAGCAGGCAGTGGTGAGGAGGGCCTCGTGGGTGGGGCAGTGGCATGAGAGGGAGGGATGGAGCTGAGAGGTGTTTGGGAGGTGGGCACATTCAGCCCTTGTCAGGGGCAGGAAGGGATCCTGTGCTTTTTACACAAAAAGACTTGAGCATTTGGTTCATTGTGAGGTTTTTGGTGTTTGTTTTTATTTGTCATGTTATGATACTATAATGTTTTTGTATTAGTAATATTTTAATATAAAAGAACATAGTATCTTGATCTCTGAATTTTGTAACTTCCTTGGCATTTTTTTTGTCCCTGGCAAGTGCCTCTCGACTTACCCTGGCCCTGGGAACTGATGGGAAGTAGAAGGTGGGGCCACAGAAGCAGTCGAGGGGGGGTGCCCCCTCTTTGACTTGGACAGCTCAGCAGATGCTGGAATCACAGACTGGGAAGGGGCTGGAGGAGGAGGAGCAGAAGACGGGTGGGGTCCCCAGGGATTCTAGGGCCAGGCTAGTCCCTGGGGCGGGGGGTACGCAGCGAGTGCTCGGAACTGCTGCTGTCGTCAAGCCACGCTCCCCACACGGCGGGTCATCAGTGCACACTGGGGAGCGGTTTGGGTACTGGCACGTCCGTCTGTCTTCCCTCGTCCAACCTGATCCCTGTCCTCTTCCCCAGCACCACCAAGCGCCCCAAGTCCATCGATGACAGCGAGATGGAGAGCCCCGTCGATGATGTCTTCTATCCCGGCACAGGCCGCTCCCCGGCAGCCGGCAGCAGCCAGTCCAGTGGGTGGCCCAACGATGTGGATGCAGGTATGGGTGCCGCAAGGCCCACCCAGTGCAGGGCAGCAAGGGCCTCTCCGTCCCTCTCCATTTACCTGGCCGGCCTCCCTCTGCTTCCCCTGCTGTGGGCGGCACTACTTGTCTTCTTGCCTCCTGATCTTCCAGAGGAGGGCGGACCAGGCCAAAGGAGGGAGCAGAGGCGGGGAGCGGGGCTGTCACTGAATCGGCAGCAGAGCCCACAAATGTGGGGGCATCGAAGCAGAGGTCTCCGACGCCGAGCCTCCTCGGCCCCCTAGGATGTCCTGGCTCTGTGGTCCACGTGGTTTAAAGCAGTTTCTTGTTTATTGACTGGGCACTGTTGACATTTGGGGCCACATCATTCTCCACGGTGGGCCATCCTGTGCACTGTAGGCCATTGAGCAGTGGCCCTGGCCTCCACCCACCAGCCAGTGGCAACTGTCCCGTCCTCCCCAAAGCATAATGACCAAAAATGTCTCTGGACATTACTGAGCATCCTCCGGCATAGGGGAGAGGAGATCAGAATCCTCCTGAGTTGAGAACCATTGGTCTGACGGGCCCAGCGTCACGGAGAGGAGCAGAGCCTAGGGAAGAATGACCAGAGTCGTTTCCCAGTCCCGCAGGAAAGGTAGGGAAGGGCGAAGGTCTAAGGGAAGCTAGCCCAGTCCTCTCAACACGCCCTAACCACCCCTTTCTCGGTGAAGCGACCCACCTTCACGTCCGGTCTTGCTGGGAGACGGGAGATGTGAGCAGGCCCAGAGAGCCCAGATGGAAGGGAGGGCAAGTGTGTGCACGTGTGCGCTGGCACATGTGTGTGTGCATGCACATATAAATGGATGAGGAGGCCGGCTGCAGGATGTTTCTGCCTGACCCACTGGTGGTACAACCTGCGTGTATTCACGAGGCCCGGGCTTCTTGGGCCAGAGAGTGTGACCCACATGTGGGGGTTGTACACGGGGCACGTCTGCTCTGGTCAGGCCTGGGGCTTTGCCCTCGAAGCCGCAAGAGGAAGGTCTGACCCGATGTCCCCTTTGCCTGGTGTTTTCCAGAAGTGTCTCCACAGAGATGGGCCAAGTGGATGGACAGGGGCAGGAACTGGGGGACACAAGGCAGAGGGGTGGGGAGGTGCTCCTGCTTTCCTGCTGCCCAGACACAGGCTCCCTGGGGGGGAAGGCAGAAGTGGAACGGGGGGCACCGTAACCACTGTGAAGCTCCCCTCTGGGGGACAGCTCCCTGCAAGTCTTTGGGTGCCTCTCCCAGGGTTTCCTCGTGGCCGGCACAGCCCAGATGCTTCTCCGGGGGAGAGAGAAGGGGTTGAAAAGGCCCTGAAGACTCCCCAGCCAGGGCCTCAGTTAAGTGACTGTCCCCTCAAGGACTCCGGTGCCTTGAGAGCCACATCCACACAGCTGTGTCCTGGGGCTCAGCCCCCGGGTCCCTCTGCCCAGACCTGGTTCCCAAGGACATGTCCGCTCCCTGGCTCCTGCTCTCGGCTGTCTGCTCTGGTGCCTGCCGTCCCTGCTCCTTCCAGCTGTCATGCCGCGCACGGCCCCAGCATCCTCCTGCAGCACCCGTGGCTCCCCGCTTCCCCTCTTCTCCTCCATGCCCGCCTCCCCCACCCCACTGTGTTGCTTCCCCGTGCTGCGACAAATCGCCAATTAAGCAGCCCAGCTGCAGGACAGGGAACAGCTGGGGAGGCGCTGTGCGGCCACGGGGACAGCTGTGCACAGCTGGCAGGGGTGCTCCCCACCCCCTCACCGTGCCAGCTATCAGGTGGCACACAGCTGCTGCCAGATAACACCTCTGCTGGCGGCTGGGAGTTCGCCCTCCCCCCCGCCTCCCTCTGCAGTTATGCCTGCAGCCCCCTCACCCCCCATCCAAACAGATCCTGTGCCTCTGAGATGGCAGCTCTGGAGACCTGCTCCACCTCTTACCCTCCCAGCCCTGGGCACGGCCTCAGGGCTCAGCCCAGGACCGGGGACAGACGCCCCCGGAGGACCTGGCCCAGGGGCCCTGCTGTGTCATAGCATCATTTGGACATCGTGCCCTGGGCTCAGAGATGAACTGGGTTGGCAGCGTCAGGATCTAGGATGGTACAGGCAGAGCTCTGATGGGGTGTGCTCTGTGCCCCTGTCACCCCCCGAAAGCCGTCCCAATCTCTGGCACAAGGAGCAGAGCAAAGCCTCGAAATGTCCCGTCCTCGGGATGCCCTGGCAGGGGAGTCCTCTCCTGTCCAGCTCTGCGCCCAGAGCCCACCCAGGCCCTCCAGCCCCTTCCCCACTCTCTTGTCGGTACGGCGTCACCCCCGTGATCCCTCTTGAGGACTGGTGGCTTCTTCCTACCAGAGCCTCCCCCAGTCCAGGCCCCACAGAACAGATCCCAGCCCGTGCTTCCTTGAGGTCCCCTCGGCCCTGAAGCTGGCTCCCTAGGGCGCCCCCCGCACGCCTTGCCTGCCCCCTGCCCCTGCCTCCCACCCTTGCATTCTGTGCCCTCTGAACTTCTTCTCCACTCGTCAGAGAGCAGGATGGGCCCCCTTGCCCATCCCCTCCCCAGCACACCCAAGGGCCCTCCTCTTCCTCTCCCGTCAGAACTACCTGTAGCTGGCCAGTCGGAGCCGGAATTGGGCAAAGGAGGCAGGAAGGCGTGTGGTGGGGCAGGGGCAGCCGGGAGGGGGCCCGAGGAGAGAAGGAGCTGGCCGCTGGCTTCCCGCCCGCCCTTGCTGTCACCCCGGCCCGGCTAAACCTGCCCTGTGTTGCCGATTCCTCCCCCCAGGCCCGGCTTCTCTAAAGAAGTCAGGAAAGCTGGACTTCTGCAGTGCCCTCTCCTCTCAGGGCAGCTCCCCGCGCATGGCTTTCACTCACCACCCGCTGCCTGTGCTTGCTGGAGTCAGACCAGGTGAGAACTGCGGGGCCCGGAGGGGGGCAGCGGGGGAGGCGGGGGGCCCGCGGGCCAGGTCAGGGAGCTAGGGTGACCCTGAGCGCGTAGGCAGAGGGCCTGGGGACGGGCCTTCCCTCCAAGGCGGCACCCCTCACCTTGTTCCCAAGCTTCTCACCCACCCCCCCGGCGTGTGCAACTGTGCCCGGGCGCGTGCATGTGTGCTTGCATGTGTGCCTGGACGCGTGCACACGTGTGTGCTTGTGCGGCACAGGCCCATCCTGAGACCCTCTCCGACTTGCCGCGTGACTAGCGAGGCGTCAGGCCCGCTCCTGCTCAGTTCTTTCCTCCTGCAGCTGCGGGGGGGGGGGGGGGCAGGCTTCTCCCTCGGCCCCCCTTCCACCCCTTCTGTCCTGGCTGCTGGCTGAGCCCGGGCCCGTGTGGGGGCCCAGGTTGACGAGAGCCCTCGTGGGGACCCAGGCTCCCTTCTCAGGGCCCCCCTGCCCTTCTCCGGAAGCGAAGGGCCGGGCCACGGGGGACGAGTGCTGGCACCTGGGTTGTTTTCCGGGGAGAGGAACGCGGGGAGAGGAACGGGCCGCTGCTGTGGGGGGCTGTCTCGCCTCGGTCTTGGGGGAGGGGGCTCGGTGGGCGCGGGGGGGGGAACACCTGGGTGCTCCGGAGGGGGATGGAATCGGGCAGGCAGTTGTGGGAGCCGAGCCCTCATCCCTGCCACTCCCTCGTTGGCTGTTTCTCCCCCGCCCTTGGTACCCTCCTGGCAGAAAGAAGCCCCTGCCCCGTGTCCGCCTGCCCGCCGTCTCATGGGCCCTTCTGTAGGGCGCGGAGAAGAGTGAGGTTTACCCTCTCGGCTTCCTCCTCGGGGCCTCCTGGCTGAGAGCCCAGAGGCAGCCTGCGCTGGGGCAGGGTGTGGTGGCCGCGAGGTGGGGGCGGGGACCCCAGCCCTCCGAACAGGCAGCGGGAGCGGGAGGGCGGCAGCCCCAGCTCGGCTCAGCTTTTATGAACTCCAGAGAGAAGCCAAGTTTCCTCAGCCCCCTAATGAAACTGAGAGCAAGAGCGAGCTGATTGGAAACAGACTGGAGGGGGAGGACTCGGCTCAGGGAAGAGCTGGGGCCTGCGCAGGGGTGGGAGTCGAATGTAGGGAGGACGCGTGTGCGAGGCCGGCGGGGCTGAGTGCTCAGGAACGGGGCCTGGGCGCCGTGGCCAGACGCACGGTCATTTGTATGCAGGAGCCGGGGTGCCTCCCACACAGGCAAGGGGCCCTGTCTCCACCCAGAGCCCGGGAGCTGTTGGCCTCCTGTGTCCCTCAGCCAGGCTCCCACCTGGGCCCTGGACCGGGGTGAAGCCAGTGCGGCACTCACCGTGACACAGAGTGTCAGGAGGCACCGAATCCCTGGTTGTCAAGATAAATGATATTTCATGTCGGATTTTTAAAAATTAAAACCAGTGCAAAAAACATGCGACGAACGAGGATCAATGTTGTAAACAAAAGAGGGGACTGGCCTTGTGCTTGCCCCGTCCCGCTTGGTTCATGTCGCTCTGACACCAGCCCTGGTTCTAATCAAACTGTATTTACAGGTAGACAGGCAGCTGGCTGACAAGCCCCAGTTTGCCAATTTGACTTTTTAAAAATATTGCACTGAAGTGTTACTTACCTCGTGGGCACCTGGGTGGCTCAGTCAGTTAAGCCTCCCACTCTTGATTTCGGCTCAGGTCATGATCCCAGGGTCGTGGGATGGAGCCCCGCATTGGGCTCTGCGCTGAGGGTGGAGCCTGCTTAAGATTCTCTCTCCCTCTGCCCCTCCCTCAGTCATGCTTGCAAGCAGGCATGCTCTCTCAAATTAAAAAAAGGGCGCCTGGCTGACTCAGTCAGTAGAGCTGCGGCTCTTGATCTCGGGGTATTGAATTCAAGCCCCACGTTGGGTGTAGAGATTATTTAAATAAATTTAAAAGATGTTACTTTTTTAACAAGTAAATTACTTTAAAAGGTAATTTACTTTTTTAAAAAAGTAAATAAAATTTAAAAACGTCAGTTGCTGAGTTACCTGGCACAGCTTTAAGGGTCTCACCGGAGGCCAGCACCCCGCTCTCCCCACCCCGGCCCTGCTCCTCCCCCATTCTCCCTTTTCCTCTGGCTCCTCAGTGCTCTGCCTGACCGGCGGTCCCCCCCCCCCACTGTCGTCCATCGCGCCCCCACCTGCCTCCTAGGCCCTGATGCCCTTTTCTTCCCGCTCACATGCGCGCAGGGAGCCCTCGGGCCACAGCCTCAGCGCTGCACTTCCCCTCCACGTCCATCATCCAGCAGTCGAGCCCGTACTTCACGCACCCGACCATCCGCTACCACCACCACCACGGGCAGGACTCGCTGAAGGAGTTTGTGCAGTTTGTGTGCTCGGACGGCTCGGGCCAGGCCACCGGACAGGTGAGTCCAGCGGGCCCCAGGAGCCCCGCCACAGCTCATCTCCGCATCTGTCCGTCTGTCTCGGGGCTCACAGGGAGAGGGTCCAAAAGCCAGGAGCCCTGCTGGGGCTGGAGCAGCAGAAAGCCAGTGGTGCCAAACACCTCGAGCTTCTGGATCTGGGGGTAGGGGTCTGCGTATGATGCCAGGGTCTGTCTGTCACAGTCCAGAGAAGGGCAGGGCAGTGACTGGGCCCAACTTGCTCGGGCTCCCTGCCCTCCCCTCGGTCTCCATTCCCCCAGTAGGAGTGTATCCGTGACCTATCCGACCTGGCCTGGGCTCCTTACCTCCTAATACCCCTCTTCAAACCTCAGGGCTACAAGGATTTGGTAGGTTCTAGACCAAGATCTCCCAACCTTGGCACTGTTGACATTTGGGGCTGTTCATTCTCTGTTCTGTGGAGCCATCCCATACGCTGGGGGGTACTGAGCAGCCTCTGAGGCCCCTGCCCACTCAATGCCAGCAGCATCACCCCCTCCCAGCCCCGATGACCAAGATGTCTCCAGGCTTGGGTGTGCCCCGGGGCCATCATGGTTTCCTAGTAAGAAGGCCCTTGTGGAGGAAAGGCCCCCTTCCGCAGGAGCTGTCACGGAGGCTCCTGCCAGCAGAACTCTTAACCAGAGGCTCCCAAATCAGTCACTGTTCTGGAGCGAAGCCCTTGTGCTCCTCAGCCTGGGAGACACTGGTTCCCCACAGAGCTCTGACGCCCCACTGCCCTTGTCCGTCGGCAAGCCCGACGGCACGGTCACTGACAAGCAGAAACACAGGCCGCTCAGCAAAGGGGTTATTCCAGATGGTGGCGGGCCAGAGGCGACCCTTCAGTGGGACCCTGGTTCCCCCTCAGTCCCTGGGAGACCGCTCCAGGTTGGGACGCGGGTGGTCTCTGGACCTCTGGGAAGGTTCTAGAGCCCCAGCAGCACACTGTGCAGTGAGAAGGCCCAGTTCCTCTCCCTGCAACTGGTTGAGGCAGGAAACCGGCTGTGAGAGATCAGGTGGAGAGGATGCTCAAAGGGCTATGGTGGGGAATGGCGTTTGGAAGTCCGCGCCAGAGGCAGCCCAGGGAGAGCCATGGGCGGCCCTTGGCCACTCAGCCCAGTACTGCCTCAGGGCGCCCTGTGCAGACAGAGTAGGCATTTTCTAAGCGCTGTGTATTGATTTAGGGGCAGGGCTACGGCTCAGCCTCCTCGCTCTCGCTGTCCAGAACGGAAGCCAGTCCTCTTCCGTCTTGTGTCCTCCCTCCTTCCGCTTTCTTTGTTTCCTTTCCTCCCTTTCCCTGTGAGGTCTTCTTTTGCTGGCTCTGTAGCTCCTTAGCACACTCAGAGCCTCGCCCACCTCTCTGGACAAGCTCTGTCCACTCGCAGGGGCATGGAGGGAGAAGTGGCCATGACCCCCGACGGCTATAACACCTCCTTCAGCGATGCCAGCAAAGTCTACGGGAGCTGCCAGCCCATGTCCCAGCATCCAAGAGGCCTGGGGTCTGGAATATGGATCAGAGAGGCCAGGAACTCTACCTTGCTTGCCTTCTTGCCCACAGAGGCAGCTGGGGGTTGGAATCCAAATGAGACTGACCTGAAGGACCAGTTTAGCCCAGAGAGCCAAACCTGACCCACAGGACCCTCAAGAGTATGGGTCAGTCCATCCTTAAGCATCCTGATGATGGCTGGGTCCTGAGCCACTCCCTTGACTTGACCATTCAAGATTAAGGGCTTACTTGGTCCAGAAGGTTTTCTTCTCAAGGCAGATGCTTGCTCCACGGATAAAACACCACAGACAGGAGGGCAGACAGTCACCCTGGTTAAACAGAGAGTCTAGCCCGGCCGGGGAGTCTCTCTCTGGGTTTCCTCTTGTGGCCTGTTGTGCCAAGAGCCAGGGGGAGGGGGTGGGCAGGGGGGAGGGCTGCCTTCAGTGAGCCTGCTCCATGGGGCTCAGCTTCTGAGAGAAGGCTAGAGACGCCACCAGGCTCTGGAGGAGGAGAGAGCCAGAGGTCCCGGGCTCTGCAACTGACCTGGTGGCACAGAGTGGCAGGACCAAGCTGCACTCATTCCGTGGCCACCTCCAGAGCAACGGTTCTCAGTCTCAGCCCGCACGAGAGTCACCTGGAGGGCTCACTAAGCATAGCTGCCTGGGCCTCGCCTGATCCTGCTTCAGCAGGTCTAGGGTGGGGCCGGGAATCTGCATTTCTTCCCAATTCCCCAGTGATGCCACTTCTGGTCGGGTGACCCCGCTTTGAGACTCACTGATCCAAAGCCTAAAGGAGCAAATCCCTAACCTTTTTGAGAACCTGAAGTTACAGATCGTCTTTGGAGAAAAATACACGCGCACAGAAATGTCACAGTTTGCAGAAGGGTTCTAGGCGCGCCTGTGTTCATCCTTGGACCACAGCACGCGGCCCTGTTGGAGAAGAGCTGAATCAGTAAAGGCCAAGGCCAAATGGAGATACCACTCAGGAGACGCAAAGGGCAGACGGAGAATGCCTGGTTAGCTGTACTTCTGGCAGAGAGAAGAGGCCACCGAGTGAACGCAATGGAGAAGTCACAGGGCCTGGTGGGATGGCGTGACTCTGGGAGGCTCTGGGAAGACTGGTCGTAGCTCGGCCTCGCCCAGCAACACGGAGCAGCCAGGCCTGCGCCTTCATCTGTCAGAGGAGAGTGAAGAGCTATCCCTGCCTCCAGGTTCCTTCTAGCTCTTCACTCGTGAGGTTTTAAGGCACCACAAAATCATAAGACTTTGAGATTTTAAAAACCTCAACTTGTACCCCAATCAGAGCTGAGACATCCTAGCCTGGTTGGAAGCAACTTCCGGAAACTAAATGTCATACAGCAGCAGCTTTCAATGTCTGGCCATATGGGGCTGGGATTGGCTTTATTAAGTGCGATTAACGATTTAGATCCTCCTGAGGGGAGACAGGGTCTGAGGACTAGAAGGAGGCGCGGGCCACCCTATGGGAGCAACAGCTGCCTGGAAGGCCACGTGTCCCAGGTCCTTGGGGGCCCAAGCCCAGGATGGCCTGGGGTGAAGGAGTAAGGCTGTGATCTGTTGGGATAGTCCTAGCTCCTGCCCTGGTGGAGGATAGGCAGCAGACAGCCTATAGGAATGGGGGGAAGGCAGATGCCGCTTGCATTTTGGCCTCACCCCTGCAGGGCTGGAAACCCCTGCCCTCTGGCCTCTGCTTTTGCCTGCTTCTGAAATGATACCTGGTGCAAAGGGTGTCCAGCCCAGGACACAAACAGGAACCAGTAGCCCCTGCTTGCTTTCATCAGGGGCCTCTGAGTGCGCAGGAAAGATCAAGTCAAGGGAACCATTTGGAGGGATGATGTTGGGCCACGGTGCTGGTCATTAGCTGGTCATTAGAGATGAAGAGTGGTGGGTGGAACAGCCAGAGGTCAGAAGGGCGTGGCCAGCACCAGTCAGCTGCGAGGCTTGATGGCTTTCAAGTGCAGCAGATGGACTGTCGGATTCAGCTCAGTTGGTGGGACTTGACACGGGCCGCACGGGCCACACAGAGGTGGAGTCTGCAGGTGTGTTGGGGAGCCTGGGAGGCAGCCTACTTCAGAGGCTCTAGCGAAGGTCAAGAGCAGCTTCGAAAAAAGGGGCAGAGAGAGAGATGGATGGTGGCTTAGGGTATCTTGCTGGCCCTACGTTGGGGATGGTGTTTTCTGGGTAGGCCTTGAAGGACATGGGAAAGGGTGTTGTAGACAGAGGGTTCTGCAGGGAGCGCGTGTGCAACTCCTGCTCAGGCTGTGTTCCAGGAAGCCCAGGTGGTCGGCAGTGGGAAGTACTTGGGAGGAGGGGAGCGTAGGGGCATGGATGGTGGAGGCACCCCATCTGGGCTCCACCACATGGGCCTTGAATGCTCAACTGGGGAGCAAGTATTTTATGTTACATGCAGTCGGAGCTGTGGAAGGGAAGGGGAGAAGCCTGAGGACCTTTGGATTTGGAGAGGAAGGTTGGGATGAGCCTGCTGGAGAGAATCCATAGGATCCCAAGAATCAGACAGACATGGTTATGAGTTTCAGGCCTCACCAGTTACAGCTGGGTGACTTTGGATAAACCACTTAGCTGCACGGAGCCTCAGTTTCCCCCGTTGTGAAAGGGGGAGAATAGAGTTTCCCTTGCATCAGCGTTTCCCACCCGTGACACTATTAACAATTGGATTGTTGAGCCTTTATCCTGGGAGCTATCTCGTGCACTGCAGGGTGTGTAGCAGCAGCCCCCGCCGCCACCCCCAAGACCCGACCCCCCAAGTTTTGCTGCCCAAAATGTCTCCAGACAGTGCCAGCGTCCCCTGCCGGGGCAGAACCCACCCCACCGTCCCTGCCCCAAGCCATGGCTTCTGCCTTCCAGGGCTGGAAGGTGGGACACAACACAAGTCACGTGCCTGGTGCAGAGCTGAGCACTGAGACACTGAGCTGATGAGTACACGGTTGGCACAGGGGAGACCCTTCGGGAGTCTCACTGTCCTCGTCCGGGTGAGACCAGGGACCAGAATCCAGGCTTCTGGAGACATCAAGGGAGTAGACTCCGCAGGGTTCCGCCACCAACAGGAGCGCAGGAACCTCCCAAGGTCTCACACCTGGCTGGCTGCGTGGCAGAGCTTTGCCCCTCGGGACAGGGTCCCGTTTAGGACTTAGAGGTCTGGCCCAGCCCAGGCAGCAGGTGGTCGTCGAGGGGACCTCTGCTCCCCAGAGCAGCAGGAGAAGTGTGTCCAGAGCTCCAGGGAGGCGCGCTCTGCCCCTCCCCGCGGTGCCTACGCCCCCTGAATCCCAGAGGCTGATGCACCCAAGGCCACGTACGGGTCTGGGGAGGAAACTCGAATCTGAGGCACGAGAGAGGAAATAAAGACAAGGAGTGGGCCTGCTGATCAGGCATCCCAGGCTTCCGAGGCCACTGTACAGGGAGGTTCTCTCAAAGAGCCTCTTGGGAACTGGACCAGCGATGGATTTTCCTCTCGGGCTGTTCTGTAGAGAATAGGCCGGCACCCCCGGGGTCGTCAGGCTGCCGGAGCCAAGGGAGAGCCCCCCCTCCGCCCAGCGCCCAGCATCTCTGCAGGCCATGATGTGGGGTGGACGCTGGAGGGCCTGAAGTTCTTGGCTGGGTCAGCTGGCCCCACCCCAGGGGCCCACACAGGGAGGCATGCGTGTGTGTTCCGGGGGCAGTGGGGGGGTCAGCTGGTGCATCTTACCTGCTGAGGGAGAAGGTCTTCAAGAGCATGAGTTCTAGCTGCAGCTGCTCATGTGGCTAGGTGGCATGTTTTAGTACCTAAAACATGTTTCCTAAGAAATAACAGACCACTCGTCGGACACCCCCTTTCGTCCCTCCCTCGACTTCAAAAGAGGACCACCAAAAAAAAAAAAAGAGAAACACCTGAGAGACCAAATAGAAGCCTCACACCCTCACCCACCCTGTGCCCCGGAGGAGAGGACCCCATCCTGCATCTTCTACCGGGAGCGCCGGCTCTCAGCAGCGAGCTGGCGTGGCCGCGCAGGGGAGCGTGTGTCTGTGTGTGATGTGCCTTCATGCGTCACTCTATTTATGTTGTTCGCAGCCCAACGGTAGCGGCCAGGGCAAAGTCCCGGGGTCATTTTTGCTACCGCCGCCGCCTCCAGTGGCCAGACCTGTGCCCCTTCCTATGCCTGATTCCAAATCCACCAGCACTGCCCCAGACGGCGCCGCCTTGACTCCTCCATCACCTTGTAAGTGGACGATGAAACCGAAACCACAACGCCCAGCATCCCTGGCCCATCCAAACAGCCTCCACTGCAAAAAGAAAGACCCCTGCCCCGCCCACCGCCAAAGCACCCCGGCCCAGAGTGCCATGGAGCCTCCCCCCCCCAACCCCGGACAAGAGCAGAGCTGAGCCCCTCCGTCACGGCCTCCTGGGCCTCAGTTGCACCAGCCAGCACCCCATGAGCCCCCCCCCCGCCCACCCGCTGCTCCCAGCCGGGGCCCCTGGCCCAGGCCCCTCCGGGGGGCGGGAGGGGGAGCACAGTGGGCACGCAGGCCGGGGGCGCTGGCCAGGGTTGGGGGGGCGGGGAGGCACAGCCATGCCATCTCCATGCCTGATTGCTGTTGTTTTTCATTTTTCGTTTTTTTCTTTTTTTTTTGATTTTTGTTGTTTCGTTGTGCCCCGCTACACCAAAGAAATTAAATGTGACCACAAGGCGACGCCACCACCATCCCCTTTTGGCCTTGCCCCCTCACCGCCATTCGGGGCCCTTGGGCCTCCAGCAGTACAGCAAGCCAGCCCCTGACCGCCTCCCCTTCAGTCTCACATTTGGTTTCTCGTTGTTCCTCTTTTTTTTTTTTCCCCCTTCCCATCCTTTTCCCTTCCCCAGGTTGAATGTTCCAAGGACGAGGGCGGGCTCTGGGCCTCAGCTGATTTCATCTCTCTCTCTCTCTCTCTCTCTTTCTCTCTCTCTCTCTTAACCAATGACAAATTTTGTCAAAGGGAAAAGAAAAATCTGAGTTGAGAGGCCCGAGGTAGACCCGACGCGTGAAGGACAGGAGAGGTGGAGGGTGGGCGGCGTGCCGTCTTCGGGCAGCGGGGTGGGTGGCGCGGGCGCCCTGTGGGCCGGCAGGACTTCCTGGTCAGCAGTGGGGCGGGGGGGGGGGCGGCCCATCTCACTTTCCTCCGTCTCGCGCTCTCTGTTGCCTTCTTTCCCGTGGTTTGAGTTCTTTTCCCCTCTCCATCCTCTTCATGCCATCTTCCCATCTACATCCGCCATAAGACACGAAGTCATGGTCATGGTCATTGGAGGTGGGCAGGGTGGGGGACGAGGCACCAGGCTGCAGGGTGGCAAGGGGGCGCCCTGGACAGAATCTGGTGAGCACGAAGTCCCTGGGGTGTGTCTGGTAGAGGGCGTGGGGGGGGGGTCCCTGGCAGTCTGTGACACTCCTTGTCCCTTCTGGGGACATCCCCTCTAGTGGGGCTGCAGGACCCATTCCCTCCCGTGGGGCTCCAGCCAGAAGACCTGAGGAGAGCGCAGGGGTGTTTGGCTGCCCCTTTGCGCCCTCAGGCTCCAGAACAGCCGCCCCTGGGCGCCGAGGCCCGAGGGCACTGGCAGGCCCTCCAGCCTCCTCCTCTGGCGCCCCGGGCCCACACCCACCAGAGGACGAGAGGGCCGGCTGCGCCTGAGCCTTGCCACCTTTGGGGTCCCAGCTGGCAGCCAGCTCCTCTCTCTGACCCTGTCCCACCCCGCGTAGCCCTCCGGTGGCCCCTTCAGCTTCCCTGAGCCATCAGCCCCATCCTTGGGCCCGCCCGGTGTGGCTAAGTGGTGCAGCACCCATGTAGGGGCTCTGGTTGGAGAGCGGGCATGGCTGAGGCGCCCTTCCTGGAGCAGGGTGGGGCCAGCCCGCCGGAGCTCCCACCCTCCTGCCCTCCCGGGCTCCCTCTTTCCAGGCCCGGGAGGGACAGCGGGAAAATAAGGGGACCTTACTTCAATGAGGGCTGTCCTCAGCCCTGCTCGGTGCCTGGTTAGGTAACAGAACAGGGTCTGTGGGACCTCGCTAACGCCTCTGGGGCCCCCCCTCACCCTGGGCCAGGAGAGAGGACGGCTGGCTGAGGCGGAGCGCTGGGGGTGGGGGACGGTGTGTGCTCCTGGTCAGTGAGAGGACGATGGGACCCCTCCGGCCTGGCCTTCCCACTGCCGGCCTACGCCCTGGCAGCATGGTCTAATCCAGTCTCTCCCTCTCTCAGCAGCCCCAAAGGGCAGTGCCCGGCAGGCCCTAAGGCCTCACGGGGTCTCTCCCTCTCTCCCCTGCTCCCCACAGCATTCGCAACGACAGGCGCCTCCTCTGCCAACCGGTTTGTCAGCATCGGACCCCGGGACGGCAACTTTCTGAACATCCCACAGCAGTCTCAGGTAGGAGGCCCCACCCACGCTGTGGATGCGGGCAGGGGGCAGGGGGTGGGGGGCATAGGCAGCGGCGGGGGCATCTGGGGGAGAGCCCGCTTCCTTGGGGCCGATCCGGGAGAAGGGGCTAGTGCAGGGCTGCAGCGCCCGGGCTTCGGCGTGCCCAGCTGAGCCTGCCTCCCCAGGCAGCCCCCAGGTCCTCTGGCTAATCAGCTAATTGGATAATTAGCTCTGACAGCCCCGGCCCTGGGGAAGGCGGCCAAAGACCCGAGGCTAGAGGCGCTCTGGGCCAGGCCTGGTGGAAGCCCGAGGCCCCGTAGGGAAGGGGACAGCGTCTGCCTGTTGCTCTCCTCCCGCCCCAGCTGGGAGCCCTGGCCCCCAGCCCTCCTTTCTTCCTTGGCTTTGGGTGGGCTGGGCGAGGGCTGGAGGAGGGGCAGAGCCGTCCTGCTGGGCTGCACGCCCAGAGACTCTGGCACCCAGGGCAGGGCAGGGCCTGTTGCCACCCTGGAGGCCCCTCCCGCAAGTCCCCGGGAGTCCCGTCAGAGGGGAGGCTGGGCTGCTGGGGCCTCCAGTCGAGCCCCCCCTCCCCAGTCTGTCCCCAGTCCTCACAAGGAGACCTCCAGTCCCCCTGCTGGGGTCTCCTGGATCCGCCTTCGTACACGCATCCGTGCACATGCATGCATGTGGACCCCCTCCACCCTGTGCCTGCTGCCCGCCCTAAGGCTGGGAATAGCCCCCCGGAGCCCAGGGCCCTAGGGTGCAGGGTGGACCCACCTCGGGAGCAGGGCAGAGGCTGCTTGTACAGTGTGGGGCTTCTCGGAAAAGAACATGCAAGTATCTTTCTTTTTCACGGATTACAAAAAAACAGCACCCTGTGAGCCCCAGGCGGTGGAGGCTTTCGCGGCCCCAGGAAACCCACCTCAGCCCAGGGCCCCAGGGCCACCTCTTTTGGCTCCTGCTGCTTTAGTGCTCTGAGGCCTGAGTCCAGAGAAAGTTGGTGGATGGAAGTTTTGTGTGTGTGGTTTGAGGTTTTGTTTTTTTTCCCTTTTCCTTTCCCTCCCTCAAAAAAAAAAAAAAAAAAAAAGCCAAAAAACTTTGTCAAACTTCAAACTTCAGAGCTCCCTAGTGGCAAGGAGGGGAGGGGAGGGGAACTTCAACCCCCTCCAGCTTCCCACCCCCTTTCCCCAGAGTCACGTCTGACCCGTCTGGTTTCCAGGAGCAACCAGACATGATGTAACACCCAGATGAACTTGAACTTGGGGGTGTTGAGAAGAAAAACAATGGCTCCGAGCAGGGGCTGGAGCCAGCCCCCTCCGCTGCTCTGTGCCAGGGAGGCCGAGAGAGCCCTGCTGGCAGAGGGCGGGAGGGGGTGCCAGGGGAAGGGACAGCAGGCGGGCCTCCCCTCCTGGCTGTGGGCTGGCACCAGGCAGCGGGGCTCCATCGCACTCGCGCCCGCCCTCCCTCCCTCCGCCCCAGCCGCCTAGAGCTCTGGCTGTGTCCCCTGCTCACTCTTGGGGACCACTGCTGGAGTCCTCCCCCCACTCAGCCTGTTTCCGCCTCCGTGTGCTTTCCCTCCTTCACTCGCTCTGCACTTTGCTTAGACTTTGGGGCCAAGTCAGAGTTTGAAGCAAGTTTGGGAAATGGTTTTTCTTCCTCTTGTGTGGCAAGGGGCCTGGGCCCCCGGGCCTCAGCAGGCAGGTGTGTCCGGGGGTGACGCTGGGGGAGACTGGAGCCGGACAAGCCCAGCCCAGCCGAGAGAGAGAGCCCTTGGGCCTGGGGGCAGGCAGGCGGCTGCAGCGGGCGCAGGGGGTACAGTGGGGGGCGGTTTCCACAGTAACCAGTGACTTTAGCTGACCTCCGGAGCACCAGATGGAGAGAGAACAATAGAATGAGGGAAGAAAAGAGAATTTTAGCAATTTTGTCATTCCCTGGGCAGCGCTTTTTACTTAGTTTTAATCAATTTTGGACCTGGCTCGGAGCAGAAAGGGTGAGCAGAACAAGTCACTTTGTGCTTGGCAGCAGATGCCCCCCCTTTCCTGGGCTCCGTGAGGAGGCCCTGGGGAGCTTTCCTGGAACTGCCTCCGTCCCTCACTCTGGGACTGGAACCGGAGTCTTCCTCTGGGGGGTGGGCTCCCCCATCTGACCACTGGTGGTTGTCCCCCCTGCTGTGCAGCTCGGGGTGGGGGTGGGGGCCCAAGGGGGCCAGCCTGGGGTCTGGGCTTGGTCTGACAAAGCCAGGGGCCACGCAGGCCCTCCATGTCCCTCTGCCTCGTCCCTCACAGGGAGGGTGAGGACCAGGCTCACACAGCCGTGGCAGAAGGGTTCCGGCATGGTCTCCCCTGGGGAAGGGCATTCCAGAGAACACTGAGGCCTGAGACTACAGTGACAGGTCACTCAGGCAGCTCCCTGCCCACCGCCTCATGCCAGGATCGGAGCCCCAGGGGCTAGCTGCCGACTCCGGCCCCGCCAACAACCCCGGGGGTGCCTTGGGCCTGGGTCTCCCCCATGTAGTGCCAAGTATGCCGTGAGCCTCCCTGTGGCCTTCCGACAGTGGCTGGGGCCGGACTCTGGGCAGATCCTCTGGGAGCCCCGCTGTCGGGGGGCGGGGGGGAGCAGGTCTCCTCCATGCGTGCCATCCAGCAAATGCCAGCAGCACCCCGATCCTGCGGCAGCCCCAGACCCCCATGTTGCCAAATACCCTCCGTCCACACCATCCCTTATGGCAGCCACTGACCACGTGTGGTTGTTGAAGTTTACATTAAATAACTAACTAGAGGAGACTTTAGTCCCTCAGTCCCACTAGCCACATGTCAATTGCTTAGGAGCCACGTGTGGCTACTGGCTACCAGACTGGATAGAGCAACCAGAATGTTTCCGTCGTTGCAGGAGGTTCTCGGGGACCTTCCAGGCCCCTTCCAGCACTGCGGCTCGATTTGTTTGTCTCACAGTAGAGGGTAACCTGTGGTCCCAAACCAGAGCCTGCGGGGCAGCCCGGCTCGCAGCATAATCTGTGTGTCTGAAACAAGTGGCTTTAAACATTGACAACTTTCACATGAAATTGTCTGGGCTTTTGGCTTCTTTGGGAAAGCTGGCCGATTTGGCCACCGCAGGCCCTCACTCCAGTGTGGCAGCCTTGGCCCTAGGCTCCCGGTGAGCGTGGCGCAGGTAGCAGTTAGGAGCATTGGCTCTGAACCGTGCCCGGCGTTCGAGTCCTGGCGAGGCCAAGCGCTGGGCTGCGTAGCCTCAGGCCGATCAGCCATCCTCTTCATCTGGCTTCCGGGTGGGGTTGGAGCCGGGGAAGACTGGGGCTCTACCCAGCGCACGCTCTGTTAGCTCGGCCTGGCCCCTGCAGAGCTGAGTCTGTGACCCAGAGCCCCACGGGGGCCCCGAAATACATTTTCAGGGACCCCTTTTTTGCCCCGAGGGTACTGCCAGGCCTACCCAGGTGCTGCAGACCATAGAGAACACCTCCCCGTTCCAAACCTCCCCCACTGCCCCTTGGCCACAAGGTGGGGCCAGAGCCTTTGGTGGAGGGCAGCGCTGGCTGCCTGGCCTCCGGGTCAGGTGTATTTTGTGATCAGTAGCCACCAAGGCTCGTTTGTGGGGACGTGGCTCCCCCTGCTGGCATCCTTAGGGAAGCCAGTCCTGCCCCAGGGAGCCTTGGGCCCTGCCCCAGCGCCAGGTGCCCTGAGGATAGAGGATCAAGCACAGTGGGCTACAGAGCCCCTCCCCCAAGCCTGGTACCGCTAGGGACTGAAGCCATGTGGCGTCCCCCCTCCCTCCGCAGCCTTTCAGCCTGTGGGACCTTGGCTGGGGGAGTACAGACGGGAATTTCTGCTTTTAATCCAAAGAGACAGAAAGAAAACTCAGCAAGAAGCTGTGCCACCCCCACCCCACTCCCAAAACCCCTCTGGGGACAAAAGCGCCAGCCTGGCATCCTCCCCACCCTCCAGGACCCGCACAAAAACCTAAACAATTGGAAACATGGCCAGATCCCAGGTCTGTGCCTGTGCCAGCTTCAGCCACGGGGGTCCCACCCGCTGGGCACAGTGCCCACGGGAAGGCCAGCTGGACTCTAGCACTGGGGGGCAGGGTCTCTTGGGAGCGGCGGGATTCCCATCGGAGGTGCCGACAGAATGGGGATGTACCTCTCCATGGGGTGCTGGTGTCCTTGGCTCTGCTGGAGCCGGGGCCGTCCCGGGGGGCCTTGGGCACCGGCCTGCGGTCGGCGTGCCAGGCGGGAGCGAGAAGAGACCTGGGCCTGTTCTTCTCAACATCGCTTCTTTTTTGTCCCGTTTCAGTCCTGGTTCCTCTGATAAGATCGACAAAAGAAAAGACAAAATGTAAAGAAGAGGTTCCTCAAACGGGGGGAGAAGAAAATTTTGAGACGTGGAAAAATCCCCCAGCCCAGCCCCACCGAAAAGCAAAAATTAGACGTCGTCAGCCACTCAGCCCTTCTCTCCTCCAGCCCGGGGACCCCTGCAGGCCCCCAGAAGCAGCCCAGTTCTCGGAGAGCCCTCGGAAGAGGCCTCGGTGGAGCTGTGCACCAGCAGCCAAGCAGAAAGAAACATGCAAAACGGACTCTGTTAAGTAGAGGACAGAAAGAAAGAAAGGATGCAACAGAACTGCCTTTCTCCCCTCCCCACCCCACCCCTCCTTCCGGGGAAGGAACGAAATCACCCCAACAAAGCGACCAGCACGGTTCTAAAGGGGCCTGTCCTCCACCCGCACCCGTCCCAGGGGAGCCCCACCCCCAGCTCGGGCCGAGCTTCACTAGGGAGCTCGGAGGACAAGCCTGTACAAATGATGGGGTGCAGATCCGAGGTTCTCCCTCCAGACTCTGCCTCCTCCCTGCCTGGCCCCGCCTCCCCCAGCACCTCCCCCCCCACTGCCTTGGCCTCTGGCTACCCCCACCCCGCCCCCCTCCCCAGCTGCTCTGGACTAGGTGAGGCAAGGTGGCTTCCAGGTTCCCCTGCCCTACCTTTGGGCCAGAACCCCCCCCCCCCGCCGGGGTGGCCAGGAAGCTGGTGTCCTGCTCCTGGAAGGGAGGGTGTCCTGCCCCTCCACCCCGCGGTTTCAGGGCCCCAGACTCCTCTGTACAGTCGGTAGGAAAACGTCGGAATGCTACAACGACGGCCCGGCCCGGGACAGGCGCCCTCTTCCCTCCTCTCTGCAGGCCAGGAAAATCACTCTCGCGCCACGGGCAAGTGAGGGGAGGCGGGCCCTCGATCGCCTCCACACCCCAGCCCTGCATGCAGGTGCCCTCGCTCCGCCCCACTGGTCCCTGCCCCTGCCCCTCACGCAGACAGCCCTGCTGTGGCCGGGCCGGAGAGTGGAGCAGAAAGGGGACCCCGGAGCCGAGCGAGGAGGACGAGGCAGCCGCCACTGCCACTGGCTAAGCCGCCACCTGCGCTAGGTAGGCGTCCTGCTCGCCGACTTTCAGTTCCTTTGGAGGGTGTTGGGTGTCGTCCTTTTTCAAAAGTGTTTTGGAGCTTTCTCTGTCCCCCCCCCAACCCCACTTTCTCCACCACTCGGGCCTCCTGGCCACTTCTCTCTGGATTTCAGCTGTAATGTCTTTACTCTTTATTTAGGGGTGGGGCATTCATTGTTTGGGTCTTTGCTGTTGCAATTGGGAACTCCTCCATCTGAGCAACTTGGGAACAATTTGGTAACACACCACAGGAAGTAGCTCTCCTCTCCCCCTCCCTGCAGCCCCTTCCTCCCCCCCAAGGGATGGATGGGGGCCTGTCCAGAGGGTCTTCAGAAGCCCCCCCCCTCGGAGGGAGGGAAGCAAGAGCATGCCCAGCTCCCCTTCGGGGTGTGACTTGGCCCCTCTGGCTTGTCTTTCTGTGCCTTACTCCCTCCTCCCTGCCTCTCCCTTCCTCGGCCCCCTTCCCCCCTTCTCGAGTCCTTGTGCCTCTCTCTCTTTCTTAACTGTATGAAAACACAAAGCACAGGTCAGGATCCTCGGAAAGTCAGTCAACCCAACATTGCACCGCAGGGGTGGGTTGTGGGCTTTATTTATTGTGAATCTAGTTGGTGAGGCTGTGGCCCCAGCAGGGAGGGAGGGGAGCAGGGGGAGGGAGCTGGCTGGGGAGGAAGGGGGGCCCTTACCTGGGGCCGCAGGGGCCGCTAGCGGTGCAGTCCTCAACTGGAAGCCACAAGGTGGCTGGCCCCAGGGGTGGCTTTTGTTGGGAGTTGAGCGAAGGCCCTCCCCGGTCCGCGTGCAGCCCTCGGGGAAGACCGGGACTGAGAAGCAGGGGACAGGGGATCCCCCGGGAGCCTGGGGTGGGGGGCGTGGGGAGTAGGGCGGGGGGTGGGGGGCCGGGTGGGCCGGGCGTGACGCGCGGTCAAAGTGCAATGATTTTTCAGTTTGGTTGGCTAAACAGGGTCAGAGCTGAGAGGGGAGCGGAAGGGACCCCCTGCCCGGCTGCATGCGCCCCTTCCCTCGAAGACAATCGGGGCCGCGGGCGCGGTGGGCCCTCGGGAGCTGGGGTCGGCGGGGCGCCCGCCCGGGCGAGGTCGGAAGCTGCAGGCCAGCTGGGCCCGGGGCCGGAGCGTACCCGGTGGGGCTGCCCGGGCAGGGCAGGGGGGTGGGGGGCCGCTCCTTTCCCAAGTGTCGTTGTGAGGGGCAGGCGAGGGGCTACGAGGGCGACAGGAGATGTGGGGACGTGTTAGAAGAGAAAAAAAACCCACAAAAAATATATATGGGGAAAATGAACTTTTTTTTTCATTGAACCAAGTGCAATGCATCAGAGAGTTTTCCTATCTTTGTATGTTAAGAGATTGTTAAGAAAAATTCTATTTTTGTTGTAATGTCCTCGCGGCTCCGGGGACGCTAAAAGAACTGGGCCTGCCCCGCCCTGCGCGGGGATAACGAAAGCTGAGTGTTTTTTCCTTTTTTTTTTTTTTTTTTGTTCGTTTTCAGTTGTTTTTTTTTTTAAGTCGTTTTCCTGCGTTGACGAGGATGATCTGGGGTTTTTATTTGTTTCGTCGTTCGTTCTCGGTTTCGGTGGGAGGGCTGAAGGAAACGTTCACATTTTAGAGTTTAAGAAAAAAACACCTCGACATTAAAAAAAACAACAACCAAGATCAAAAAGGAAAAGGACGAGAGAAAATTATTTTTAAGATAATTCAACATAAAAACCCTGGTGCTTCTTACATTATAAAGTACGTTTAAAAAAACCCACAAACTATTATACATAAGTTTATGAATCAATTAAATATCCTGCACTTGTTAGGAACACGCATATCCCTTCTTTGTTGAGTTTAACGGAACGGGACAGCGGCATAAGCCCGGCGGCTGGGCTGCTCTGGCCGCGGGTCTCCCCGGGCGCCCCCTCCCCAGGGCCCAGCGTCCCCTCCTCGCCCCATCCCCGTCCGGGCACGGGGGCGCGGCGGGGGGATCCCCAGCCCCTCCCCCGCAGAGGTCAATGCCAACGAACAAATGTCCCCTCCCTCCCTCCCTCCCCCTCTCCTCCCCGAGCGCCCTTCTTTGAGCCAGACGCCAACTTGACCCTCACCAGCATTATCAGGAGCGCGCTCAGCAAGTTGGTAGTTACCCTCTCTTTTCCCCGGCGCCCCCAACTCAACATCATTCCTCCGGCCCCCCCACCCCCCCAGCCTGGTCACCCACCGGGGAGCACGAGGAAGGCTCGAAGCTCCAGGACAGGACCAGCCACGCTGACAGGTCGATTCGCCCAGGCCCGCGCCCGCACGCACGCACGCACACGGCCCCGCACACAGCCCCACCCCGCCCTGCAACCAGCCCCGTCGACTGCCTTACACACCCGCCCCCGCGCTGGCCGGCCGACCTAGTGCCTTGTTCTCACCCCCGTGCTGGCGGAGCGGACGCCGCGCTCTGGGTCCCAGAGGGGCCGGGTGGCTCAGACGACCCACCATTTCCTCACCCCGACCGTGCTGAACGGACCCCCCCCCCACATGAGAGAAAATAAAGGAGCAATAAAGTCACGAGAAATTTCGTCCCCCAATCGAGAGCCCGAGGGGCACCCCAGCCCCGCCTCTGCTCCCCCCACCCACCCACCCTCGGGGCGCCCCCCTCCCCCCCAAGCCAGCCTGGGCCAGCCCCGCTTCGGCCCCTCCCGGGAGATCCGTGCGCCCGACCAGCACCAGCATCGCGGACCGCAAAGGCCGCCCGTCCCGTCAAACAAGTTTCTTCTTAGGCTAAGAAACGCAGTATATACGAGTATCTATATATAGTACTAATGGATTTGGTGTGCTTCCCCCTTAGCGTCCCCTGTCCCTCCGCTCCTCCTCCTTCAGCCTGGTCTCCCCCTCTCTCTCTGCCCTCCACCCCCGTCTCTGCACTGAGATACATAAGAAACAAGGGTAGTTTACTGTCTGTTTTGTTTTCTGGGTTTTCAGTGTCCTAGCGGAATGCAAGTAGGCAGCCAGCCCGTATGTTCCCTCTCTGCCCCGCCCCGCCCCGCCCCGCCCCGCCCCCGTCACTGCGCTTCTGTTATACCATCTTTGCCTGACTCTCTCCGGCTTCTCCATTGAATGGCTAATGTGTATGTGAAATAAAGAAATAAAGAAAAACAAAAGTAAGAGCGCCCGAGCCTTTGCTAACTCCGTCGTGCGGGGCCGGTTCGGGATTGGGGGGGGAAGGGGGGGTGTCCCGGCGTCGATCCCGCGCCTCTCTCCGCGCACCTGGCGCGCCGCGGACGCGGTCCGGGAGCGCGTATCCACGAGTCTCCAGGAGGGGGCGCGGGTGAGAAGGGTAAAGACCAACCCCCCCCCCCACCCCGTCCCTCCCCACCTCTTTCGGTGACCCCAGCCTCGGGGGAGGGGGGGGAGAAAAAGGCACCACTTCAGTCCGTTGACCTATCTGCCATGTTGGTTCCTGAACCTCGTCCCCCGGAGGAAGACGCGGGAAAGGCCATTTCCAGCGGGCAGTGGGGGATAAAAAGGCCTAAAGGGCCCCTTCCAGATCCCCGGGCCCTTTTCCCCCGTCGGGAACGTCCTCACTGGTCCCTCTTCGGGGAAGTTTGCTCCAGAGCAGGCGCAGAGCATCGGCTGTCCCTTTCTCCACCGCCCTGGACTGAGTTCCCGGTGCCCCTTCGCTCCGAGGCAATGCCGCGGAGGTCACCGCACCTCAGGGCTCACGGCCGCTCGTTCCGTCTTGATGGGCCGGGCCGCCCCGTCGGGGCCGCCGTCGGGGCCGGCCCGGGGCGCGGGCTGCGAGCGCATCGCCGACTCGGCTCTGCGACAAGGCCCGCGGCGGGCGCCGTCGTTTGGGCCTCGGTGCGCTGGCCGTCTGCGGGGCCCGGGCGGGGCGGGGCCTGCGGCCAGGGCGGCCGCCTGGTCGCGCAGCAGCCGCACCAGGAAGCCGATGTATTTCATGGCCAGGCGGAGCACCTCGTTCTTGCTCAGCTTCCGGTCGGGCGGGTGCGTTGGCAGCAGCTTCCTGAGCTCTGCGAAGGCGCCGTTCACGTTCTGCTGCCGCCAGCGCTCCCGGCTGTTGGTGAACACGCGCCGGGCCACCTTTTGGGGCTGGTGCCCTGCGGCGAACAGGAGGGGCAGGTTCGGCGCCCGCCGAGGCGCAGGGGGCGCCCCCGCGGGCCTTCCCTTCAGCACCCAGAATCTTCCAGGGGACTCCCGCACAGGCGGTGGGCTGGGGCTCTTTCCATCCAAGGGCTCCACCAGTAGGATCCCTGGGCAGCTCCCCTGCTAGTGAGCAGCTCCTCCCCTCTCCCGCCTGGACCAGGACCCTCACCGGCCCAGGCTGCAGGCAGCCAAACGCGACTGTCCCACACTTTTATGTCAATGGCCCAGCTTCCCTAGGGAACTGTGCCTGCGTCCTCATTCTGACTCTTCCCCTGCACGTGGCTGGATGTGCACATGGCTCTGAGAGGTCCCCGGGCTGGACCGTGGTCCTGTGTCTCGGGTGGCTGTGTGAGCTCCCTGGACATCTCAGTGGTTGTGGTTGTGTATGATCGTTGCCAGGTGTCGTTGTGGTCGTGTGGCTGTGGTTCTGTGGCTGACTCTTGTGTGGCCGTGGTCCTAAGTGGCTGTGGTTGTGTGGCTGTCTCTGGTGTGGTGGTGGTTGTCCTGTGGCTGTTTCCTGCGTGGCTGTGCATTCGATTGGAGCTGTCATTTTGTGCCCCCCCCCACGCCATGGTACATTTTGCCATGACTCTCTGTGGCTTGGTGGCTGGGCTGTGGTTGTGTGGGACTGGCCGTGGGTCTGTGGTTTTGCACAGGAGTGCAGCCTGAGTCCTGGGCCCCTTTGTGTGCACCTGCCACATCACTCCCTGTGCAAGACATGAATCCCCACAGAGAGGGACACACACACACACACACACACACACACACTCACCCTCGGCCAGCTCCAGCTCACAGTGGCTGGGTCTCCGCTTCAGCCGGCTGCTGGGGAAGATGCCGAAAGGTCCTGCCGGCCCAATGTAGAGGCTGTAAGGGGTCGCGGGTCACTAATGCCTTGTGGGCAAGGACCCTGGCCCCAGATCCCCCCCAGGTCCCAGCCCCCCACTGACCTGTTGAGAAAGGGGTGAGGGTGGTAATGCAGGGCCAGGGGGGGCGGGACAGTTCCCAGGGTGGAGAGTTGCAGCAGGGGGGGCCTCAGGGCGCTCAGCTCCGTGGTGGCCATGGCTGCGCCCGGAGGCCTGGCGTGGCCCAGGCTGATCACTGGCACGCCAGGGGGCAGCCTGGGGGGGGAGGAGCCTCGGCGGCCCGCCTCCTTCACCTTTGGGGGCCCAGGTGAGGCAGGCTTGGGGGGCGGAGCGGGCGCTGGGCTGGGGGCACACACCATTTCCGCCTTCTCAGTCATGGTGGGGCCCACCTCTGCCTGGGCCTGGGGCGGGCACATGGACCCCGAGGGGGTGCTCACCTGTGGGAGGGAAGAATCAGCTGCCGCGCACTTTGCTTAGCGCAACAGAGCCCTCAGATGAGAGGGCAAGTGGGTCAGTGAGCAAGCAGGTGGGTCCTGAAACCGCCAGTACATGGGAGGGGGGTCTGACACAGGGCAGGACGTACCCAGTGAACCTCTGGGCAGCGTCGAGCTCGGCAGTGCCATCTCTGAGCCGTTTGTGACCCATGAGGGCCTCAGCTGCCCAGCTCCTGAGCAAATAAATCTCCCTCATCCCAGAATCCTTCTCACCTGGAGGCTGGAGCGAGGGGTGAGGCCAGGAACCCATGACAGATCCTGTGGCCCCCAGGATGGCCGTGTAACCTTCAGATCTGATCCTGAGACCCCTCACTGATAGTGTGTGACCTTAGAATCCCTCTACAGTTGACTCTGACCCTTCACTGATACCCCCCCCCCATCACCCTGCTGGCCATGTGGTCCTCAGCTATGACCCCGAGGCTCTTCTGAACGCCTCCATGTCACACCCTGAAAGTCCTCTATAATCGCTCCATTGACTCCTACCCCCACTGAAAATGTCCCCCTTACTAAGCCTGTGACCCCACTGCTGACATTACGATAAAAAACGCTGACCTGGGATCCCAAACACTGACCCCACTGCCCAGTACACAGTCATGTGCCAATCCTTCTCTGGCCCGATCAGATCAGCCGCCTCCCCCACCTCCCCCACCCCATCAGCGTCCGCTCCTTGGCAACCTGCTTAGATGTCCCTGTTCACTCCTGGCCCCATGGCTTGGAGTGTCCCAGCAACTTCTGGGCCTCCTGGCCTCTCTGTCCCGTCTTCCCTACCTAGGCCCTGGAGAAGCTGGCCTGGGCTCTCGCGTAATGACCCCCACCCCGCCATAAATGAATGAATGAAGCATGCAATGCATGAATACAGACGGTCCCAGGATACCCCCACCTTCAGGCGGACTCCGCTCTTACCCCGGCGCTGGTCCTGCTGCCTGATCAGAGCCCTGGCTCTGTCCTGCAGGGCCAGGATGCGGGTTCGGCTTCAGGCCAGGCTCCGTGGCCTCGATCCGGTCCGGCCTCGGCGTTCTGGGCCGCTGGGAGCTTGCCGCCCCCTCCCGGCAGCGACGTCGGGCTGCGCCTCTTCCCGGGCCCGCTGGGGCCACGGCGACCGCGGTGGCGGCGGCGTGGATCCCTCGAGGGAAAGTGAGCTGCTCCCGGCCGGCCCGCCCTCTCCCCGCCCCCGGCGGCCCAGTTTCCTCCCTCTCACCCCCGGCCGCGCCGGAGGATGCTGGGCCGGCACAGATAAGGGCCTGGCCGACTGGCCGCGCCTGATAAGGAGCCGGGCTGACCCCGGAGGAAACCGGCGGGCGGGGAGCTCCGAGCCGGGGCCTCACGGCCCCGCCCCCTGGCCGGCGACGGACAGGGCCGTCACCCCTCAGGGCCTCACCTTACCTCCTCCCAGGCACTGGAGTGGCCCAGGGCCTCTCCGGACCCGACCCAGCGCGCGGCTGGGAGTGAGGTATCCGGATGCACGCAGAGGGGAAACTGAGGCGGGGGGGGCGGCAGCCTCCAGTATCGCCTGGGTTTCGCCTCCGGCTTTGGACACCTCCTGCCCAAGTGTCCGCGCTGATGGCAGTGGAGGAGAGCCCTTTCCGGCAGTCTGGGGCCTCGTGACCCAGGGCCCCCTCCTGCTCCTCCTCTCCTCACCCTGCTTTGTTCCTCTTTTCACAGAACGCCTACCCGGCTTCGCGCCACCCCCACCCCAGACTGGGGCACTGGAGGGAGGGCAGTTCTGACAGTCTCCCCCCCGCGTGTCCTGCCTGGCCCAGTGTCCTGGGCCCCCAGGCCTGCTATCCACACCACCCTTTGGGGCTCAGGAGGGTAAGAGGAAGGGCCACGGCCGGGACGTACTTCCTAGGGAGCCGGGGCTGGCGGGACCTTACAATAGGCGCCCCCAGCCCGTCCTGTGGGGATGCGGACCCTCTAGGCCACGAGGCCACACAGCCCCAGCCTGATGGTCTCTGGCCCTCATCCCACATCACAGGCCACTTTGAGGTCGGTAATAAAGACGTGCTGGGCGAGTATCTTGCAGCCGTCGGGGTGCTCAACACGGGCTGGGCCTGCTGGAGGGGCGGGGCCCTGGGAACAGCCAGGCAGCAGGGACAAGACTATACCTTCGTCCAGGGCCCTCCCACCTGGGTGGATCACACTTTGCCTGCGGTGGACTGGTCCGGGGCACTGCCGGAGCCGCGCAGCACGGCTACGACTCCCCCACCCCCACCTCCCACTCCCCCGAGAATCTGGTGAAGCCCCAGGAGCCAGCCTGGCCTCCAACCGACCCACGGCCCCAGGGAAGCGAAGAGTTCAGCTCTGAGCCCGAGTTAGGGGATTACCCCTACCTACAAACTAGCTTCTAGGATTAGGTTCATTTCACAGGCGGGGAGGAAGCCAAGAGAAAGATGTTGGGGTGGGGGGGCAGCTACCACGTGGGGGTGGGGATTCTGCCCTAAGCCTCTCCGTTAACGTTGCTAACCCTCTGTCCTGGAGGGGAGGGGAAGCTGCAGGCCCGCCGGTGCCCGAGGGGCCGCGGAGCAGGAAGCACCTGGCCTGGAGCGGATGCACAAGGCGCCTGGTTCCGGTCCGGCTTCCGCCACCACGGCCCTGTGGGGAGCTCGGCCAGAGAAACCAGGCGGCGACGCGAGGCAGGGCAGGGGCTGGGTGACTGGAGGGCCCGCCTGTGTCTGGGAGCACGCCAGCGGGGGTTGGGGGCTGGGCGCTGGGGGTGGAGGGGAGGGCCCACGGACACGAGCACACGGCTGCCGCCCCGTGGCCAACCCGGGAACTGCAGGCACCAGCGATGGGGGTGGCGGAGCACCTGGCGGCGAGGAAAGACAGACCACCCCGCTGGCGGATGGTCAGCTCCCACAGCCCCATACAGACAGAACACTCCAGACAGAGATACGGACAACACTTCATGCAGGCAGGGACAAGCAAACCTCCAGATGCACAGAGCTTCCCCAGGGAGTTTAAAAAAAAAAAAGGTGGACAGAGGAGCGCAGACTCCGGACATGGAGCCAGAGGGATGGACAGAGCCCCTCAGGCAGATGGACAGACAGACCACAGGCAGCCTCCCCACTCAGACAAATGGCAGTCGGCAAGGTGACACGTCTTTATTGGCTCAGTCTACACCTGGACCAGTGGCAATGCCAGACCTAGGTGGGTTCTGGGAAGAGGTCTCTGGAAGGTCAGGGGAGGCAGCTGCGGTGGCGTCCTCAGGGGCTGGGGGGCCGTGGGAGTAGCAGCACTGGTCCCCGCGTTGACAGGTGCCCTGGTGGGAGGACAGTGGGTGTGAACCCTGGCCCGGAGCCCAGCGGCCTCTGCTGAGTCCCTCTCCTAGACCGGGAGCTCTCCCCATGCCCTGCCTGCCCCCCTGAGGGGTGGAGGTGCCTCACCTCCTTGAATCTTTTACAGGGAAAGGTCTTGAGCCGGGCGGCCCGCTGGACCGGGTCGTCAGGTGGCTCCTTTCTCTTATTCTGGTGCAGCTTGCGTCTCTCCTCCATAGCGTCACCTGCTGCCTTGCCCCTGTGCAGCGGGAGGAGGAGCTGGGACCCCGTCCTGGCCCGGATGAGCCCCCCCACCCCCTGCCACCCGCCACTCACTCACCCTGGCCGCGCACGCGGCCGGGGACCCCAGTTGGCCTCGGGGTTCGCCTGGAAGCGCTTGAGTCCCCGCTGGCGCGAGCTGGGGTTGGCATCATCCCTGACCGTGAAGTTGGCCTGCAGCCTGGGGGCGTGGCAGAGGGGGCCTGAGGGCCAGGTGCCCTACAGGTGCGCACCGACCCCCTGCCAACCTCCCTGTGGCTCCACGTGCCTTGCGTTGCCTGCCCAGGTCAAAATTCTCATCGGGTTCACGAACATGTATCCAGTGCCCACCGTGAGCCCGAAACTGGCGGCAGGCGAGGCCGGCGCAGGAGACAGTGGGGCGAGTCAGAGGGAAGTTCGCTGCGTTGTGTTAGGATGTGAGTGAGAATTTTGAGAAAAACGGAGCAGGACAAAGGGAAGGGGGAGACGGGGAAGGGGAGCAGGACAGGATGGACAGAGGCAAGGGAAGAGCCACTGGACCGGACCGGGTGCCCTAGGCACAGGGGACAGCGCTGTGCCTGGGGAGTGGGAGGGAGAAGGCCCCGTGTGGAGAGAGGGAGGGAGCATGGGGGGAGGGGGGAAGGGAGAGGCCAGGGAGATGGTGCATAGCTTGCAGGCAGAACTTGGGTTTCTAGCGAGTGACGTGGGAGTTACAGAAGGTCCTAAACAGAGGGCAGACGTGCCTGACTCCAGTCCTCACCGGTGTGCTGTGGCTACCGCGGGGAGGTGGGGGAAGGACTGGGACAGGAGACAGACAGCAGCCAGTGCTGGGCAGTGATGGGGCCAGACCGGGGCGGGGGGCGGGGGGGGAGGCAGAGCAGAGGGGAAGTGGGAAGATTCTGGGTCTCACTTGAAGAGCATGTGTCTGTGTAGGGAAGTATCTGTGGCAACTTGCGCACACACCCGAGCCCCCCACGCCTACGGGCAGCCACCCCAGTGCTCGTACCTGGGCTCCACGCTGAGAATACGGAACGCAGGGCTGGCCTCTGACAGCCGCTCCCGCTTCACCGGACACTCCTTTTCCTGGGAGGCAAAGTTCAAAGGTCAAGGGGACGCCGGGCCTGACCGTGTCCTGCCCTCGCTCGCCCATCGGGTCAGGCCGGCCCTCACCCAGCAGCGCATGATGTCCCAGAGGGCTGAGGAGGGGGCATCCGTCTTCACAGCATTCTTACAGGCGTGGGAGAGTGAGACCCGGAAGCCAGCATGGAGGAGGGCCGACCTGGGAACCAAGGGGGGCCATGGGTGGGGGGCTGGCCCCCAAAGCCAGCGCTGATCCGTGCCGGTGTGAGCCACCTGGACAGCTGCACATCTCATGGTGACTGCACGGCCCAGGGAGCGCCAGTGACCATATTAGGGAGACAGGCCCCTCACCAAGTGGCCCCCGACTCTTTTCTGAGCACCTGCACGCAGGCATGCTGGAGAACTATTTTACCCCAGACACTGGCCTTGAGGGTGGCCTTGCCCTAGGGCACCCGGAGGGCAGGCACAGACCCCCCCTCCCCCCCCCCGCCCCGCCCCACCGGGCCCTCACCGCAGCTGCAGGAGGCTGGGTGTGCTGCAGCGGATGGCGCTGCTCAGCTGGTCCAGCGTGTAGTAGAGAGGCACATCCGGGAGCTCCTGCAGGAGGTGGGGATGGGGGGGGACAGGATGGGTGTGGGCTGGGTGGGGGAAGGATGGCCCCACACAGGTGGGAGGGCCCCCTCCCCCTCCCAGCGCGGCCCCCACCTCGGTGATGACGCTCAGGACCCCTTGGATTCGTGGGGAGGTGTGGAAACGGCTGGGATTGGTGCTCACAGCCTCCAGGACACGCCCCACGAAGTCCAGGTCGTGGATAGGCTCCGCCCACAGGGGACCGCCGAGCTAGGGACACAGGAGGGGGCGTGGTGGGTGGGCAGGGGGCAAGAGAGGCAGAACCCCAGTGTCCCCCTGATTTCCCCTGCCCTGCCTCACCTGGTGTCGCTGCCCACAGTGCTCACACTCAGGGCTGACCGGGGGACCACAGGCCGCAGAGAACTTGACCCTGCGGAGAGTGGGGTAGCTAGGAGGCGGTGACCCTGGGACACCTCCTTCACCTTCCTCCCGGGCTCACCCTTGCTCACCGGCCGCCAGAGGCTCCTGCCGCTTTGCCAAGGCGCTGAAGGTGGAAGGTCCCGCAACCCACACACTGGAACACCAGCGCCTGCTTGCTGGGGTGGGGGTGGGGGGGGCGCACAGGGGATAAGCTCCCAGACTGATCGCCGCACCCCAACTCCTCCCCATTAGGAGCCCCGTTTCCTCCCAGACCCCAAAAGGCCCTGCTGCCTCCCTCTGTCCGTCAGCCTTGCTTGCCCCAGACTGACCTGGCTGACGCCTTGACTTTGGCCTGGCCGGTGAAGACACGGACGAAAACGCGCACGTAGAAGTCGGCGCTGACGCTGAGCAGGGGCACCACGAAGCGCTGGTAGCAGTTGGCCCGGAGGTCCAGGCTGTGCAGGACGATCCTCAGGGCCTGGGGGGTGGGATGTGGGGCTCAGCCAGCAGCCCGGCCACCCCAGGGCCGCACGTGGTGCCCACAAGCCCAGGCTCAGGGTCCTGTGGTCCAAGCCCAGTCCCAAGCGTCCTGCTGCGTGACCCCTGCCAAGGGGATGCCTCAGTGCCCTCGTCTGTGAAATCACAACAGTCTGTGTCTCTTTAAGGCCCTCCTGGGGCTACCACGTGGTTAAGGGGCACACAGGCCCACTATCCCGGCTGGCACCTTCCGGGCGCCCCGCGCGATGCGATGTGCTCCAAAGACCTGTGTTCCGGTTTGCCCCACGGACCTGATGACAGGGCCCTCACGGAACAAAGTCAAAGCCAAAGCCCCTGCCCTGTTGAATCCCCACGGCAATTCGTCATCCTGCTAGAACTCGGCTGGTTGGAGACATGCTTTGCTTTAACATCTTGGGATGGATGTGGCCCTGGCTGCCTGGAGGAAGGAAGCGGGTCTGCGGGGAGGAAGGGCTGGGGAGAGGGGGGCCCTCACCATCTCGTGGCAGGCCCGGCTCTTGAGGGCCATGGCCCCGTACTTGCTGTAGCA